CCCACTTAAAGAGCCCCTGTTCATCACTGAAATTGAATATCAGTGCCTCAATCTAGAATCAATAGCTCCATGACTTAGTCTTAGTCTCCCCAAGCAATGATCTCACCTGAGTATATTTCATCAATGCAAGACTAAACTTCTCATTCTGACACATCCCAGACTTACTGGAGCAATTCCCTGGAGTCACAGAGAGGAAAGTTGCCTTGGAAATCAAAGGAAAGAAAGCGCCAATGTAGGAATGGATTTGCTTTCATCTTACATAGACTTAGAGCTAGAGTCATAAATAGCACTCTTCTGCAAACCTGCCTTTCCAAGAAATATATCTAAGCTTTGGCTGTCAGACAAAAAGGAAATTCTAATTGTTATGTATTGAATAAATATAAAGTTATGTTAATCCCTGCTAAAGTGAAACTAACTTAACTCCAACTGCTTGTGAAGCTAAAATGAAACTAACCTTTAGATGACCCTGACTGTTAACTCCAACTGTTTTGGAGGGAAACTTTGAACATTCATATTTGGGTTTTTTTTTTCAAGTATTGTGATTGGTTAAGGCCATGTGGGCTCAGGGTATAAATTACAGGCAATTGCCTGCATTTCTCGTTCTAGTTTGAGTCAATAAATAACGTCACTATGCTGGTTTGTTCCTTGCCTACTAAAGCTCACTACACAATACTAATTTCCCCACCTCCAAAAGAAATAAATAAGCATTCTAAAATAAAGAGCTATATATGGATATTTGAAAAAAAAATCAGTAAACAGTATTATTTGAAAGATTTCCAAAATCATTCTGTAAAAAAAAAATGGCACAAGCTGAGAAAGGATGGTCAAGTTAAGAGCATATCAAAATAGTCCTATGGACTATCAGAAGCTAGCGACTGATACTGTATACTCATAAAGGGAGAAAAATTAAACTGCATGTTTTTTATGTAGAACATTACAGACTCTACCATTGGAGTTATAGGTTGCACAATCAGGCAACAAAGACTGGGTCCCTGGATAGTTTCTATCAATTAGAGTAGATAATAAGGAGCTACTTAGGTAATAAGACAATTCATATGTTCATCTTCATCTTTCAAGTTAATTATGATAGTGGCGAAAACATCAAGTCTAGACACCAAGGGATGGTGAATTAAAGTCCTGCCTTAGGCATGAAAGCTAGTTGGGTGACTTTGGGCCGGTCACTGTCTCTCAGCCTGACCCATCTCACAGGGTTGTTATTGTGGGAAAATAGAAGGAAGAAATATTAAGCATATTTTTCATCTTGAGTTATTTATAAAAAATAATTATGGGAAATAAATAAATATGGTTCCTCTTTATTGTAATGTTGTAACTTTCACTTTTTTACTTTAAACTAAAGCCCCTGGGTAGCACTTCTGTACAGCAACTATGCTCAATCATCTACATAGCTGTGATGATTGAACATAGTTGCCATTTGGAGCAGTGGTACTTGTCACAATGGCTACAGCTTAACAGATTTATTTTCTTCAACACGTTGCTCTCAATGGAGGATTCTGTAACTGCTGAATTATAAGGTGACCAACCGTCCTCCTTTAGGGAGGACAGCCCTCCTTTTGTGAGTTCTGTCCTCCCTCAAAAAGTGTCCTCCTACGTGTCCTCCTTTTCGATATTTGAAGACTAATCTGCAGGGCTTTTTTTTCTCATAGAACGCTCAGAACGGCGTTCCGGCACCTTTTTTTGATGGTTTTTTTTTAACTTTTGCATGAGCTGTGCTACTCCCCCTATTGGCTTTTGAAAGCCAATAGGAATTGCTGCTGAGCGCGCCAAAACACCCGGCCGGCAAACTTTGCACATGTAAGTTGTCTGCAGCGAAGGCGAATTGGTAGGAACTTTGCACTCCTCCCTGCTACCCAACTACACCATCTCCTAGTTAGTCCCAAAGATACCTGGAGGAGACTGGAGCGGCGATGCCACGGTAACTTTCTCTTGCTCTTCGGCCCTGCTAGGGCAATAATGGCTGTGGGTGCAAGAGGCAGGGACAGCGGGGCTGCTGCAGGCAGGGGTGTGAGGGGCGGTGGTGGCCGGCTGCCCCCCATGCTATTGGGAGCCACGGGGCCTGCTCTACACGGGGCTGTGCAGGGTGGGCGGTGGTGCTGGCGGGGCAGCTGCAGGTGGGGTGTGTCGATGGCGGGCTGGCCCCCGGGGCCGGAGCCGGCACAGCTGGTGCTTTGGGAGCCGCGGGGCCTGCTCTACATGGCGGGGCAGCAGTGCTGGCGGGGCAGCTGCGGGCGGGGGTGCAGCATGTAAGCATAATTACAATATAAAATGTTATTGTTACAAATGTTTTTTATTATGCATTTATCATATTATAGTGTATTCTGTATTATTGTTGCAATGAATAAAATGTTTCTTTTATTTACAATATTTTTTTCTTCAATTTATTTGTGTCCTCCTTTTCATTGTAAAAAAGTTGGTCACCTTATGAATTAACTATATGTTAAATGAAATGTGAACACAGATGTCTCACATAGTAAACCAACTTATAATTAGTTCATCAAATGAGCTAAGTCTGAAACGTCCCTGCTCTATAAATCCAGCTATAATATAATCTATTCTTCTCTGCTTTCCTTTCTGATATTCTTACCAAAACATGACAACTTTTGTAGCAATCAATGACAGCTGAACAGCAAGAGGAATTGAACTAATAGAATAAAAATGGAAGTAAATTCTGAAGGTGTTTAAACAGAAAAGAAATATATTTCATAGATCAACTGGATATTCAGCAAAAATAATACAATTTGCAAAATTGCATCTGAATTACCTAGGCATATAATTACAGTATATGAATTGTTCAGTGGGTTAAAGAGGAGTTGTGCTGTTCTATAAACTTTGGGGGAGGGACAGAGAAAACTATTTTAGAAATCTATGTTAGAAACTGATTTAACTGAAATCTGCTAAGAAGGAGTGCTACGGTGATGCCACTTCAGCTGATAAAAAAGCCCTATGAAAAGCAGTAGCTGGGGCTTCTATCTGTTGATGCTAGACCTTGGAAAGCTTAAAATTAGCAACACATCATCAAAGTGACTGAAATAGATTTCTGTAAATGTTAAACCTGAGGGGCTGGCTCTGAGCACAGGGCAGCATATGGATTTTGGATAATGCTCAGCATCATATTTCATAGGACTGCTGAATATTGGGGGTATGAAATTTGATGATTCAGGATACCCTGCCCCATATTGGCAAGGATCTTATGATTGAAAACCAGTTCAAAGAATCTTGCAGCAACTGTAAGATTTCATAAACACAACAGAGCAGTAGTTTTTATGAATCCTAGTTCGGTTCACCAGAGGCGAGAAATATTCCTTCTTCCTGATCAAATAACTTACAATTCACAAAAGCATTGTGGCATAACAAATATGTTTTGTAAAATTTCATAAGATTCTTTGTTGCTTTAAAATATATGTAGCACTCACTTTAAGAAAGTACAATGCGGAAATATTATTTATCCCTATTACTAAGGGTGGTATATTTTATTTGAATCTTACTGATGAACTTTGGATTTATACTATGAAATCCTTGGCATAATAGTGTGTATGTTATGGCATACCATAAGATCTTTTGAAATACTGTTTCATCCTCTGTTTAGGTAGTATCAAATACTCTATTTTGATTCCATTGCAGAAAGATACTTTTGTTATATTTTGTTACAACTTTATTGGGTAACTTCTGCCTTTATTGTACGTTGGAGATGGTTGTGCAGTTGTTGCAAATCACCCCTATTCCTTCTACTTTTTCTATAATAAGCCAATTCAGACTAAGGTATAGCATCATTAAATGACCCAACTTAAATTCAAATAGAAATTAAGTCCTTATTAAGTCACTGGAGATTTGATCATCTCAAATTTTATAAAAAAGGAAAGTTATATTTTACCTTACATGTTGAATAATTAAAACAGGAATTCATTTTGTTCCATTTAATGGTGTAATATTTAAGCTTAACCAATGTTTCTTCTGTAAAAGAAGCATGTACCACAGCAACTACTAACAGTATGCCTAGTTTTTTTACTTGTTAAATCCTGGAAAACATACAATAAATTCAAGCCTTCAAAGGTCTACCCTTTAGCTAGATCTTTGTGGTGCCAGTCTTGAGCATTATTTTGAATTAAGCAGCTAATTTTGAACAAGTGCCACTGTTGATTATTTAAGCATTGCTAATTGCAGTGATTACTTATAATGGAATTGTAACACAATGGAGCAATGAGAAATAAATGTAAGACAAATATGTGCTTGGCTGCCCAAGAAATTGAGAAGAGATTACTACTAAATGCAACATGTAACTAAGGAGATATTTAACTGCACAAAAAGGAATAAAAGTAACTGCTTTCTATCACCCAATACATCCCAATACAGTATCTACAGCCCAGAACTCAGATTGATAGAGGTTCTCCAAGCTTTTTCATCACTCTGAATCTCCTTCATTTAACTGGAGATAAGATCGGTAATCCTGGGATCTTTTTCAATAGCTTCTTGTGCTATGATAACCTAAGATAGCTCAAAACCTACTTACTCAGAGGAAAAGTGACAACTGAAAACTGAATTTAAGTTCTGATCATTAGAAGACAAGACAGTACAAATCTTTCATAGAAAAAGATCACTTAGTTTTCATGCATATTGCCACTGATATCTCAGTGGGAAAACCACACTGATTTATTATCTATATGTTTTACTTGTTAAATCTATGATTTTTCTTTTACTAGTGCAATACAACAGAATGAACTACACAATATATTGGTAAACAATTAATTAGATTCTTCCATCTACTTCCTTTATTATAAACAAAGGAAGGAAGGGGCTAAATCTCCATGATTTGTAATAAACAAGACCCTTAGGAACCATGCAAAAAGGTATTTGCCTAGAACAACATCCCATATACAACAGACTCAGTATGAATCCATCATTAGTTTTCTACTCCCCACATAATTTATGCCTGCCTCCTCCTATTGTAGTCTTTGTGAGAGACAGTGAAATTATCAAATACTAACCAACTAAGATGGAATAGAGTATCCCTGGGCGATCAGAAGCAGGCTGGATGTTGCGATCCTGATCTATAGCTTGTATTGGTGGTGTAACATTGATTGGGTTTACCCGTGCCTGTAATGAAAATTAGATGTGTTACAGTGGTATTCTTACACAGACGATTTTATTTAATAGTAAGCCATGATGCTGAGTACATTGAATGTAACAATTATAACTGCAAGTAATAGAGTTGCATAAACATATCAACTTGAAGAACTGAATATGAAGTAACATTAGTTAAAGTGCAATTTCAGGAGTGGTCCATATTTATTACACTATCTAGATTCTCCACATATCCTTTAAGTACATAATGAAAGGTATCTTAATGATATGAGCTTTTCTAAACACTAAAAAGGTTTAAGGCAGTGGCAAATCTATGGCATGTGTGCCAGAGGTGGCACTCAGAGCTCTCTCTGTGGGCACGTGCACTGCCGCTGCCAGCAACTTGTGCAGGTCCATTAGGCCACTGCCGCCCAGAGCGGAAGGCCCACCCAGCACAAAGGAGGTGAAGCAGCCAGTTAGCAAGCTCAAGTAGAGGTGGTAGAGCATGCCCACACCCAGCAAGCCAAAGGCCACCCTGAGCAGGGAAAGCCAGATCCCCATCAGCGCCATGGCCCCCAAGTCCCAGCTAGGATTGCGTGCCTCCCCCATCTATGTTGGGCCTCCTACCCACAGCCCCACCCACCAGAGACCCCCTGGATCTCCCCCAACCCTGTCCGGCCCCCACAGGCATTTCCCCATGAGCAACATCGAGGTGGCCATGCCCAGCCCAGCCACGCCCACCCAGTGTGCCATGACAACCGGAGCCATGCCCACCAGTGGGCCATGCCCCCATGCCCCCCACTGAGGGCACCACAATACTGATGCGGCCCTGGCACTTTGCGATAAATAAGTGGGTTTGGGGTTGTGGTTTGGGCACTCGGTCTCTAAAAGGTTCGTCATCACTGGTTTAAGGGCATTAATTAGGTACACTATATTTCTTCTGGGAAGGAGATAGAACTTATTTAGCTATAAGTTAAATGCTGGAAAAATCTGATCAAGTATTATAGAAAACAGATTTCATGGTAATTTTTTAAATTATTCTCCCCCCCCCCCAAAAAAATAAGATAATATATTTTCAACACAGTGATATATTTCACTGATATATTTTACTGGCCAATAAAGACGTCAGGAACTGCATATGCACTCAAAGCCACCCTAACCCTGACATCTATGCAAAGACAGCTCTTCACACAATAACAGGTTAAGGTTATTAATGGAAAGGTAGATTTTCTTTTAGATACGCAACTGACTGATTAGTACAGTGGCCATATTTTCTTGAAAAAATACAGGATAATCTTGAAAAAGATCAAATATGAAATAGGTTCATAAGGGTTAAAATGTTCATAACTGCTTTACAAAGGAACATTCAAAAACAAAATAAAAAAACTCTACAAGAACATATATTCTAATAAAAATATCTAAAAACCATAAGACGCTAAGAAGCAAATAATAGAAAGGATTTCTGCAACCAGACTGTGCATTAAGTGATACCATTTGTGTGGTAAAAGTTAAATGGCCAAAATAAAGGACAAAAGTTTGTTTAACTTTTTGAAAAATGAATAAATCTTATTGACAGTTTTCTAAAAGAAAAGACTGTCCTTTATAATAAAGAACATTATGTTCACAGTACATGCTGGGAAAGAACACTTGGCAATGCAGTGGTCTCTGAAATCATTAAATTAACCATAGCTTGTTTGGCTTTTTTATAAATTATTGCTGGTAATCTTGAACATGTATATGAGAACAGCTATCATGTTTCACTATTTTCCCAATGGATAATTCAAAGAAAGGTAGTTTATCTCTCTATATCTCTATATTTCTATATCTCTATATTTCTATATCTCTATATTTCTATATCTCTGTCTGTCTGTCTGTCTGTCTGTCTGTCTGTCTGTCTGTCTGTCTGTCT